TAACTAGCTCTGAGTCCCTGTTATCTGTCGACTCAAACGGGACGTCCCTTTCATAAACTACAGGCGCTGTCGTTTGCTTATAGCCTATTCAAAACACAATTAATATTTAAATTTTGATTTTTGTAATGCAAAACAACATTTTGTTTAGAAATGTTGTAAATTATTTGCAAAATAATTAATTAAAATTAATTAAAATACAAATACAAAATGCGACATAACATAACTTACGTGTCTATTCACTAACAAGTAAGGTAGCATTAAATGATTTATTACTATTTTGATTACTGTATTTATCATAAAATGATAACAACAGTTTAATGTATTTAAATAATCATATTATTTACTAATGCAAATTTACAAATACCTAGGAAATCTGCCACGGGCAATTTAGCAATAGACAGGTCCCCGTACTGTTGGCAATGAGACATATTTGTCATTTTCATGGTGTAGTCAAACTGCTCCTGAAGTGTGGCTGTCCTCAGGTCGTGCTGTTCACTGAACTCCATCCACCTCTCACTATACAGATCAGCTGTATAACCATGGTCAGTTAGCTTCAAACTAAGTTTATAAATCATATTATAAATTTACCTAGTGAAGTACCCAAAAAGGTGTCCGGGTACATGTCCCAACTACCCTCATCGGGAAGGGAGGCAGTGGTCGCGTAGATGTTGATGTCAGTAGGTAGGTGCTTGTAAAACATAGAGCCTAGGTGATAATAAATTATTTAATATGTTGATAATTATATTAAATAGGTATACTTATTAAATACCTGATTCACACGCCTCAATATAAAACACTAATTTCGAGTATTTATTATTTTTATGCATATCCTTGAGTGTCTGGGTCAAATTAGATGCGTACAGGTAAGTCTCGGGAAAACATACCAGGTCTAGTATAATAATTAAAATAAAAATTAACTTTATATCAAAACATAATACATAATTAAGCAGTGTTAATAGAATAATGTAAAATAATACTAGCCTGGTGAACCATGGTCATCGAAAAACACAAACACGTGATCATCAGGTCCACTTTTCAATACTTTTTTGCCGGCATTTTCCAACTCTTTATCTCCGGCGAGAACTTTGAGAAAATTCTAGTTTAAAATAAATTATACTGGTTAATTTATGGATGTATCAGTATAATTTTAATGATTTATACCTCAGGTGTAACCTCTTTTCCCGTATAATCTTTAGGTACGTCGTGATAAACATCAGGACCTTTTGGCCAGTTAATCACTTTACCAGGGTACTTGTTATGCTGATTATTTGCAATATCATCATAGTGGAATACTATGATATTCTCATCGGGAATGCCGTTTGCGTGCATTATTTGGTAAGCATGGTAAATGTCCGACTTTATAAACAACAATATAACATTAATGTATGAAAATAAACTTGTTACAAGTACTATTCTAAATATGGATTGATTTTAAATTGTATTTGTATGTTTTGCATTTTGAAACTGAAATATTCTAAAGATTTTCTACATTTTTATTCATTAATCAGAAATGTTTGGTTTTAATTATAATGGTATGACATAAGCGAGAATGACTTCAATACCTGATGTCTATAGTTTTCCCAACCCTTAGACCCGGCCGCCAATACGACCCACTTTTTGCCGGTAAACTCATTGTCGTTAACCGGCAGTGAGTTTACGTACAAATAAAACACCGACAATAATAGCAACACTTTCATCGTTCAAACAATTTAAACAAATATTTTAAATAATAAATTAGTCTGCATCGCTTATATAGCATAACGAGAGATAATGCATCTAGATTAATATATACACACACACACACTTTGAAGCGGATTAAAATTATCTCTATTTTGTATATCGCTTTTCAAACAAAAAAGGTTTCAAAATTAAATGTAATATTTGTAATCAGTTTTAGCTATAATTTTTGATTAATCATTATATAAGCCACAAGTTATTGTCTGTTGCCTATAGTTTATAGTACATTAATAGATAATAAAGTACTGTATTTTCAAGTTCAAATTAATCTATAATGTGGTAACTATATTTTAAATGTTTTGATCATAAATTGTAAACTTAAAGGTAGATAAAACTTTTAGTTGTAACTATAACTGATTTAGTTACTTAAAATATTATTTATTTTAAAAATTACTTTTAATTGTATAATACAATTTGTATTTAACAAAAAAAACTTCAATAATTATATGTGATCAAGGACAGTTGTTAGATAAAATAATCTTTCTAATTTAATTGAATTGTGTATTAAATATCATCTGAGATCAAAATAACATTCATTAATCATAATATAAATTTTAATTTTAATTAGTGCTGGGAATGTAGCAATATGACCAAGAATGTATTGAAAAATAGCAGCTGGCTTATATTGATCCAATGAATAGATAGTCTATCACAAAATTATTTTGTTTAGTAGATATGAAAACCAAAATGTTATAATTAAATCATTTTAATATTTTATTTAATTAATTAATTTATTATTTACAAAATGCGTATAATCTGTATTTTAAATTTTATTATTTTCTTTAATAAATCTAACTTATAAAACATAATTTATTAATTAACTATTCTGATATCTTATAAAAAATTTATAATATTTATTGTATTTTAAATCTTACTTGTTAATCTAATCATTTTCTACCACAATACTTCTCTTAACAATATTTGTGGCATATGACAAAATTAGTTACAAAATTTTATACGATATAATGTATCATACAATAGATAAATTACATACTATATATAAAACACAATTTTAATAATATTATTTTGATTATTGTCTAAAATTCATAAATACATGTTCATAATGAAAGTGTTTTGTATACTGTCTGTCCTATTAATCGCCGTAAACTCATTGCCAGTAAATGAGTTTAAGGGTAAGAATTGGGTGGTATTAGCAGCCGGGTCTAATGGTTGGGATAATTATAGGCACCAGGTATTCATACTTTTATAATTAAACTTTGTTAAATATCAGAGAAATTAAAATTAATTTATTAGCTGATAATACGGTTTACATGTATATTTACGTATAATATTATCTATAAAATGTAATTTTAAAATAATTAAATGTTAAATAGAAATTAGTTCTCAATGTTGTCATCCCTAACAATAATATCATTTTATTTAACGATTCACATATTCATGTTAATATAAAAATATTACAGTTTATTGATTTGTAAATTAACTTTAGTACTGTATGTATGTTTTGGGTGATTATGAATTATTATTGTTAAATTATTAAATGCACTATTAAATTGACTGAATATCAATTTTATAATATTACTATAATGTGAATTACTAGTCGGATGTATACCACGCCTACCAAATAGTCCGTTCCCACGGCATACCCGACGACCAGATCATTGTATTTCATTTCAACGATATCGCCGACCATAAGCTAAACCCGACGCTCGGGGTTGTCATCAATAGGCCTAACGGGACGGACGTTTACCACGGGGTGCCCAAGGATTATGTCGGCGCTGATGTCAATCCTAAAGTAAAAATTATTTTTATTTGTTTAAAAAATTATTTTAAATTTTATTTTATTTTTGTGTCAATACTTGTGTTGTGTAGACTTTTCTGAAAGTACTTTCTGGTGACCAGGAGTTAGCAAATGCTGGCAGAAAAGTGCTCAAAAGTGGACCTGATGATCATGTGTTTATATTTTTCGATGACCATGGTGCTCCCGACATAATAGCTTTTCAAGATAACTATTTGTACGGCGAAGATCTAATGGATACATTAATAACTATGCATGCAAACAAAACATTTGCCAAGCTAGTTTTCTATCTGGAAACCTGCGAATCAGGTAACTTTATTTACAATATATTATAAGGCTTATAATATAAGCTGTATTTAACATGATATTTCTTATTGACCAGGCTCAATGTTTGACAAGTTGTTACCAAAGGACATCAACATATACGCGACTACAGCCTCTCTGCCCACCGAGAATAGCTATCAATGGGATTTGGACAGCACC